CCCATAGAGATGTATCGCTGGAACGAAAAGAAAGCAAAAAACAGAATCAGGCGCGATGGAAGGAATCGAACCAGCAACCATCAGCTTGCACATGCATCGTCCCAACCACCCGAGCTGTCTACCATTCGTTGTACCAAACCAACGCGCAACTTAAATAACCGAGCACAACCGACCAACCAGACTTGTCTACTGTATCAAACCGAAATTAGTTACTCTACTGAAAATCTTTAAAAATGCACATTTCTTCTGAATTTTTATATTTTGAAAAAGTGCGAAGATTTTTTAAATATCTGAAAAAATTGTAGACAGGAACATCTTTTCGCATATGCAATTTTTTTTGAAAACTGCAGGAAATGTTTTCGAAAAACATGAATCATTTTTTGAAGCTGTATACAAATTATGAAATACCAAAACATTTTGAAACTGCGAATATTTTTTGAATTTTTGAACAAATATTTGAAAATGCAACATTTGATGAAATTACGAAAATATGAAACTGCGCACATTTTTTGATTTTGTAAACAAATATTTGAAAATGTAACTTTATGAAATATCTAACAAAAAAATTTGAAACCACGAACATTTTTTTGATATACCCATACACTTTTTCAAATGTGAACACTTTTTGAATTTCGGACCAAATTTTGCAACTGCGAACATTTTTTACACTTCCAGAGGTATATTTGAAATAAGAACATTTTCTAAATTTGTGAACAAATTTTCAAATACATGAACTTTTTTGAAATTCTGGTACATTTGTTGAATTGAGGAACATATTTTGTAAAGCAGAACATATTTAAAAATCTGAAAAAGAATTAAAAAAGACAAATATCAACATGAAAAATGAAAAAAATGTGAAAATAAAAAATGAAACGAAAGAAAAAAGGAAAGTAAAAGACAGGAACATTTTTTCGTATATGCGAACAAAAATTTGAAACTGCGGAAAATTATTTTGAAAAACCTGAACCATTTTTGAAGTTGTGAGTAAATTATGAAATTCTGAACAAAATTTGAAACCGTGAACATTTTTTGAATTTTTGAACAAATATTTGAAAATGCAACATTTGATGAAATTACAAAATTATGAAACCATAAACATTTTTTGAATTTGTGAACAAATATTTGAAAGTGAAACTTCATGAAATATCTAACAAGAAATTTGAAACCAGGAACATGTTTTGAAATTCCTGAACACTTTTTCAAATGTGAACATTTTTTGAATTTTAGACCAAATTTTGCAACCGCGAACATTTTTTACTATGCCAGAAGTATTTATGAAATATGAACATTTTCTAAATTTATGAACAAATTTCAAATACATGAACATTTTTTGAAATTTTTGTAATTTTTTGAATTTATGATCATATTTAATAAAGTGGAGCATATTTTAAAATCTGAAAAACTTGAATTAAAAAAGACAAAATATCAACATCAAAAAGGAAAAAAAAGGCGAAAATAGAAAATGAAATGAGAAAGAAAAAGGAAACAGCAAAATGAAAAGAGAAAAGAAACAAGCAAAAATAAACAGAAACACTAAAAAGAAAAACCAAAAACCAAAAAGAAACAGGAAAACCGGTTCAAAGAACCTTCTAGAAGGTCCCAAAACCAGGAAAACCGGCTGGGAAGCTCTAGAAGGTTCCCAAAACCGAAAGTGCTGCAACCCTGTTAGTGGGCCGGCCCAGGTCATCCATCGATCGGTAAGTCTCTGTGTGAAAGGTCGACATTTAGACGCAACATGCGTCCAATAGGGAATTCCGGTGGGAGCTACTAGTTAACGAGCGCTCTTTTTGGGGCCTTACAACGATCAGCACCACTTGGCACGCTCTTAGCCATTCGTCACGTGTCGCGCTCTGGGAGCGCCCTTTGAATTTTTTTTATTTTCCGCACGCATTTTCGGCTATTGAAATGGTTTTTTTTTCCTGGTTGTTTTCGATGTTTTGGTTTTCCTTAGCTTTTCGACAAAAAAAAATAAAAAAAAATATTTTTGCACGAAAAATGCATTTTTTCCTTTCGCGAGAGTCATGGTTTTGCTTTCGCGGGAGTCACGACCGTGTCTCTCGAAAGCGGGGAAAAACGTGTTTTCTGTTTTTTTTCCCTTTCGCGAGAGTCACGGCCGTGCCTCTCGGAAACAAAAAAAACACGTTCTCTGTCTTTTTTTTCCTTTTGCGAGTCACGGGTTTGCTTCCGCAAGAGTCACGGTCGTGCCTCTCGGGAACGAACAAAAAACGCATTTTTTTCCTTTCACGAGAGTCACGGTTTTGCTCCCGCGAGAGGCACGGGTGTGCTTTCGCGAGAGTCACGGCCGTGCCTCCTCGGAAACGAAAAATGCATGTTTTTTCTTTTTTTTCTTCTTCCGCGAGAGTCATGGTTTTGCTTCCACGAGAGGCACAGGCATGCCTCCTCCGGAAAGGAAAAAAACCAATGCTTCCGGTTCGGTCTTTTCGTCCAGGTTTTTTCATGAAAAAAAAAGTACGTCAAAACCTATCAACATGGGATTCAGTTTTGAAGATTTTGACGCGAGGAATCCAACGGTAAAAGTGGGGTAAAAGTGGTTTGGGATTTGAACGCAAAGTTTGAAAGATAAAACATTTTGAATAAATGGATCCGCTACATGTGCGCCACTTATCGCAACCTGGAGAGTTGGAGTGATCTTTGCAACGAGTACTCCTCAACTCGTAATTTTGCAGATAGGTTCCAAGTAAGTTCGTCTGCTATCCTGTTTTTTCCTTTCTTCGTTTCTTCTTTTAGTTTCATTTTCAATTTTTTTTACGGAACACTGTGAGACAAAAGCCCCACTTCCAAACAATTTTTTTTAAAATGTTGGAATCATTAATTTGTAAATTATAATTAATACAATGTTAAACAATTGTTAGCTTAATTCAACGAAAATGTTGATAGCATATTAAAACAACATTGGTGACCTTTCTAAGAAGTTCACTTGTTTCAAATAATGTCTGCTACTTATGAAATTTTTTAATCAAATAGTTAAAAAATATTACAAAAATATAAAATAAATATTTCAAAAATATGTGATTCTTTTTATAGCAGACACAAAAAATGTTTCAGCCATTGAAATAATGTTTACGCATTTAAAAAAATGTATGTGACATTACAAAAAATGTTAAGCATGTATTCGGAAATGTTAAACGTATATTAAACAAATGAGAACTGTAATATAGCAATGGAGGATGGTCTTTGCAAAGACAACCACATCAGCCATAGACAGAAAATTTAAATGATTGTTTACAACTTATCTCTTGATTCTTTACAACTCAGCTGCAAGCTTACCTATTTAATCGAAGGAAAAACACTACCTAAAGCTCTCAAGCATTATAGTGCATCAATCAACGGCAATATAAAGACATGGGATTTTGTGGAGGACAAGCATATAATTTTGATGTCATCTCATAACCTAACAAATATCAACTAAAAAGTATAGAGTTAAGAAGCACATTCATATCTCAATGCAAAGTGGAATTCAGAACCCTACAAACCATGGAAGCAAAGCAATGTATGCAGAAATTGTTAAATATGCATATAGATTTAGTGATCTGTTCTCGGGACAGTAAAACACCATAGTTAATAATTCATGTCGTCCAGTAGTTGTAAGTTTTGGTACAAAGGTCAGCAGTACAAGCTTGATATAGTTGCGAAGATATATTTTTACAACTCTCAGAAATAGATGCCATCTAGAAGATATATTCTTGCAACTAAAAATAGCTAACTCTGGTTTGCATAAAGCATAGCCTGTAATGTAACACCCTAGATTGTAACATCAATCTAGGCAGATTGGGAACCACACTAAAGAGATGTAAATATTCTCACCATTTTCTAGCATAAATCAAGGTACAACAACATAGCTTTAGATACATGTAATGTAAATCCTTATTGGTGCAAACCTGAGGAGGCATATGGTTTTAAACAGCCATAGTAAAGCACACAAAACAGAGGTAAATATTCTAACCATTTTCTAGCATAAATCATGATAGAAAAACATAGCTTTAGACACATGTAAACCCTTGATTGGTACAAATCTGAGGAGTCTTGGTTTTAACCAGCCATAGTATTTGGACTAGATGATAGGCCGTGTATACAAAATGTACAACTGTATTATTCAGTTTTGAGATCATTTGTCCCTTCAACTGAAAGAATCTGTCAATAGGGCATTATAAGAAATACAAGACAGACTAGTAAAGCATGGATTACTTTCACAAATTTAATCCCTTCAAACAAAGATATTGCAGAAGAATGGATATTTCATCAAAACTGCATCCTCAGATTGATC